CTTCAGTAACCCCCCACCCCAAACCTACCAACTTTGTCTCTATCTCTGCTGGTCCCAGCCACTATCATCTCTCTGCTGGGAGACTGCAGCCCCCTCCAAACTGGTCTCCCTGCTTCACTGCTGCCCCTCCCACACACTCACAATCCATTCTCCTTACAGCAACTGGAGTGATCTTTCAAAAATGAAAATCCGATCACCTCACTTCCCAGCTTAACTCTCCCACCCAACCAATGGGTTCTCCTGGCACTTAAATAAAATGCAAACTCCATACAACTCTGTGCCCTACGGATCCTCTCCAGCTCTCCAGCTCCAGCTCACACACAACCCCGTCTGCTACATTCCATTCCAGACTGTTCTGTCCAATATGGTAATCACTAGCCACAGTGGCTATTTAAATTTGACTCAACTAAAATAAATTTAAACATTCAGCTCTACAGTCACATTAGCCACATTTCAAATGCTCAATAGCCATATGTGGTTAGTGGCTACCATACTGGACAGCACAGATACAGAATTTTTCATCACTGCAGTGAATTCTGTTGGACAGCACTGCACTAGACATCCTGAACCCATTTCAATCTCTCCAATACACCATGCTCTCTTCTGTTGCCTCCAAGCTTTTGCACAGGCTGTTGCATCTGCCAGGAACCCCTTGCCCACCCTCCACAACAGACACACAAAAACTGCCTTTGCTGGCCAAGTCCTACTCATCCCTCACCTCTCCATTTAAGCATCACTTCCTCTGGGTAGCCTTTTCTAGACCCTGGACTGGAGTGAAGGTCCCCTCTGTGTGTTCCCATAACATTTTGGACTTATCTGATCATAACTCCTTATCCATTATTGCTGATATTTATTTAACTGTCTGGCTCCAACTTTAACAATAACAATGCCTACTGAGCTCTCACTATGTGCCAGACACTGTGCTAAGTGCTTTAGCGGTAACAGAGCAACCTTATTTCACACATGAGGAAACCAAGGTTATGCAAGGTTAGGCATCTTTTCAGAGGCCACGTGGCTGGGAGGTGACAAAGCAGGGATTCAGATCCAGAGCCACACCCTCAACCACCAAGCTTTTGGGACAAGATCAAGCTTTCTTTGCTATATCTCCAACACCCAGCGCAGTGCCCAGCACCCAGTTGGTGCTCAAGAAGGCTTTGAATGACTTGGTGGTTAATCATAATCATAATGCAGAAGACACTGCTGTGCATTGGGAAAAAAAACTGGAGACCCTCAAGTCCTTCAGAGCCATCACCACTCCAGGTGATAATGACAATTAAGCAGACAACTCTCATTGCAAATGTAACTTATAAGAAATTCTCAGATCATTGGCCATCAGAGAAATGCAAATAAAAACCATAATGAGATACCATTCCACACTCACTAGGATGGCTCTTTAATAACAAGTGTTGATGAAGATATAGAGAGATTGAAGCCCTCGTACACTGCTGGTGGATTGTAAAATGGTGCAGCCACTTTGGAAAACAGTCTGGCTGTTCCTCAGAAAGTTAAACATAAAATGCCATATGACCCAGTAATTCCACTCCGAGGTAGGTAGTCAAAAGAAATGGAAACATATGTCCACACAAACCTTGTACACAAATGTTTACAGCAGCATTATTCATAATAGCCAAGTGGGGAAATAACCCAAATGTCCATCAACTGATGAATGGATAAATAAAATATGGCCTCTCTATACAATGGAATATTATTCAGTCATAAAAAGGAATGAAGTGTGGATATGTGCTACCACATGAACTTGGAAAAATTAGGCTAAGTAAAATAGTCCAGTCATCTTTTATCTCATATTGCTTGATTCCATTTATATGAAATGTCTAGAATAAGAAAATCTATGGAGACAGAGAGTAGACTAGAGGTCAGCTAGGACAACCCCTAGGTGGGATTTGGGAGTAAATGAGAAGCTGAAAGCTATGGAGCTTTTGTGGGGGGTGATGAAAATGTTCTAAATTCGATTGTGATGATGGTTTCACAGCTCTGTAAAGATACCAAAGACCATTGACTTGTACGCCTTAAATTAATGAATTGTATGTGAATTATACCTTTAAAAAATAAGTTCTCTGAGCAGAGAAAATGCCTGTGTTTTTAGCAGGAAATTAATCAGGCAGAGAAGCAAGGCTTCTTTAATCTAAGTATTTTAAGAAGCTTCACCCAGTTAAGTCTCCATACCAGGAAAATATTCTCCAAGCAGCCTTTATGCCAAATGTGTTTCATTTCACACTTAGTAACTTTTCGTAAAGCACGTTTCTTTAATTTGAATTTATTTTCACAATAAATTTTAACAAAAACACAAAAGAGTTCACAAAAACGTGGAGCAGAGGTATCCTTTGGAGAAGGGACTGAAGGGCTAAGGGTGGGAAGGCAACCACAGCCTGAACCTTTGCTTCTTGTAGCGACCCTAGAACTTGTCCAGGGTCTGATCCAGGCCATGTTTACTGGCCAGATGCTGCTTCTCTGACAGCTTTGTGTATGATATTTCAGAAAAGAGATATAAATAAACCAGCTTAGCAAGCTGGGAACGCTTTCCAGAACAGGGAGGCAGTGACTGAAGTTGAGCAGGCTGCGAGAAAAAAATGGCTGAGGGGGCCCTGGTCCACAGGGGCCTTTACAGAGCCACCAAAGCCAAGGGCTCCTCCTAGAGGAGAAGGGGACCAAAATCCTACCGGTTTGGGCCAGTCTACCCAGCCTGGGAGAATTATCGCTCTTGCTCTCAAGGGAAGCGAGCTGCCGCTTCCCACACCGCCTCTGAGCCCTAGAGGCACTAACTACTCAGCCAGACCCAGATGTGGGGCCTCTCTCCCAGCGCCCAGAATAGCCACAGCCAGGCGCGCGCCAAGTGTGGGAGCCGGGTCCGAGTCTTTGAGCCTCTGGGAATTTTCCCAGCCTCTGGCTGGAGCTGGGCCCGTTCTCAACAGCCCCTGCTATTTGGCTAATGAAAAGTATCCGCTTTTACCATTGAAAAGACCAGGAGACACGTCTGTTCTGTCATCTGGGTGAGCCAAACAGAGAAAAGGGGTGAGGGCAGAGTCAAGATGAAGATGGGGCAGAGTGGAAGCGCGCTGCTCCTAGAGACACTTCAGGACAGGGAAGAGACACAGTCCGAGGCCCAGAGGTTCAGAGACAATGTGGGCTAGAACCGGCGGCCCAGACAAGGAGAAGGCCCAGACCTGGACGCAGCACAGAGCCTGACTGCGACGAAGGATGCCCGGGCTGCATCGCAGGGCGAGCCGAAGACCCCGCGGTCAAGCGCCGAGGGATGGGCGCCGGTCAGAATCCCAGCTGACGCAGATGCCCACGCCCCAGCAGCCCACAGAGCTGTTTGACCCCAACTTTCCAGAATGGAAGGAGTGATATTTTTGACTGTTTCTGGGTAAACCCAAACCATGACGCACAGAAAGTTTGTGTCTCCACCTTCTCCTTGTTCCCTTCTGTGGTTTGGGGTCACCCGAGAGAGCCTGTGCAGATGTTGTCATTTTTTGTGATATGTCTTTAGGCACAAGTCCCTTATTTCATTACAAATGTCCATGTTAGAAGACCCGTTCCAGGCTCTGTGTGAATCTGGGCCCAAAACATCTCCTGAGGAAATGGGCATGTTCTAAGCCTTCCTCTAAAGCCTCCTGTTTATAGAAGTGATGCCTGGGTTCTTGTTTGCGGAGCCAAAGAATGAACTTCACAAACACTCAAGGTAGGAGAGCCAGGTAGAGGCTTTTATTTAGAGATAAAGTGAGAGGACAGAACTCCTGGCTCACGCCAGGAGGGGACAAGAGAGTCCATGGTTGGTGCGTTGTCTAGGGGATTTATAGTTGGTTGAGGATTTTCAGGAATGTGGGTAAAGTGCTCAGGGTGCAGACTTGTACCACCTGCCCTGCCCCCAAGGTGGGCTGGGTAACTGGTGTCTGTTTGCTAGGCTGTTTACAGTGAAGTCAACGGTTATGCTGAGATACCCTTCTTTATGTGCGGAACACTCAAACATTCCAGGCCAAGTTGCTTCTGGTCTTTTGAGCTTTAACTGATTCACTGAAGATGTCTATATTCCTAGTCTGGTATCTTTACCCTAGAGAATTATTGTGACCTTGACTTTGCATAATGCTTAACACGAAGTTTCTATAGGGACCTTTTTGCACATTGTTACATTGCTCTGTCTGTAATTGTCTTGCTTTGCTTTTTCTAGAGGCCCTCACCCTACTCTGACTACACCCACAGTCCCTGTCTCAGAAGTAACATTAGTATTTTCACTTGTTCAAACTGCTAAGGCTGCCCAGAAAATATGCTCAGTCATTGAGTTGGAAACAGGCAAAGAAACAGATGTCTTTAATATGGGATGATAAATACGATGCTAGGTCGGGGTGAAACACAACTGCTGCTCCCCCCCAAGACAGACAGGTGTGAAAAATCTTTTGGGTTGACAGGGAGGGATGTGCTTGTTTTGAACTGGCAAGATGAATGGAGGAGAGGAGTTTGGCCCCTGCCGAGTGGACAGAGCTCAGGTCATGCTGTCCTGCTCTGGCCTGAAATACCCGTGAGGAGGACAGAACTGGAAGTAAAGCCGGAGGATCATTCTCGGTGGGGTGAAGTCAGTCTGCAGGGCAGCAGCCACTAGAAGAAATCATCAGTACACTGCAGGGAGCCAGAGCAGCCTGGACTTGCGTTCTTGTGGTTTTGCCAGAAAGAGGCAGCAGAGACCTGCCACTGAGCACACTGCACTCTTCCAGGCCTGCGTGTGCTCCTGCACCTCTGTCTTCCTGTCTCTAGAGGTTTCTGTTTTTCTAATTTCCCCTCATCACCCTCTTACGTGGTTTAGCACCTTCTCCCTCTTCAAGGTTGTGGCTGTGTGGGGGCAGGAGCCGTATTGTTCCAGTAAACCTTGCCAAGCGGCTTCCCGGAAAAGCTTAGGGGAGGGGATGGGAGGGGAGGAGAGGGAGGAGTAGGTTTACCTAAAAGGCCATTGGAGCTTCAGAATTAAAGTATCAGCTGCAAAAGATAGCAGCCACGTCAGCTTTTGAAGGGGACTAGCTCAGGCCTGATGCTCAGAAAAACAGCTTTTACAGGGGTTGGAAGGGATAGGAAGGTTGGTTCACAGGAAGCCAAGGGGAAACAGAAAGTGTTGGAGGCTACCAGCTGATCTGCAAGGTGGTGGGGGTAGGGTGGGGGTGGGGTGGGGGGTGCAGTAGACTTGGTCTGCTGAAAGGCCCCTGGTCATGGTGAGGAGGGGGCATTCTCCCTTGGAAGTAAAGCCTTCCTCAGATAAGTCTGAAAGGCCCTTTTCTCCCCAAAAGTCTGAAGCATCTCCTTTGCTGGATGCAATGGTCAGTATTTTGCCCTGTAACTGGAGGTAAGCAGAGCAGTTCTGAAAACCAAGAGTGTCACCTCCATTCCTCAAGACCCATGTTTAGGAGGCCTGGACCTTATAGTGATGGCGTCTTGAGGGGCATGGCTACTCTGCTCTGCCTACTGTTCCCAGCAGAGTCACTTGCTCCCAGAACTCACCATGCCCCTTTGCAGCAGCAAGTTAACATTGGTCCCTACAGCAGGCTCCAGAGCCAGGCTGATGGCTGCCTCGCTCTGCTCTGCTTTGCTTGCCTTTCTTCAGGCTCCCTTTGATGCCAGCTGTTACCCTGGACCCTTGCTCCAAGGACAGGTGCAGGAAGGAAAGGTGCAGCTCCAGGACCACTCAAGAAGCTGGTAAAAAAACACCTAATACAAATACACACTGGTGTGGGTGGAAAACTGCATAAAAAGATGGGATGGTGTCTTTAGGATCCTGACAAATTGCCTTAAATATCGATAGTTATGAGGAATTCCTGAAGGTCTGAAATTCAACTACTAAACAAAATTGCAATATCTGCAGTGAAGAGTAAATGTTCTTAACATATAATGAACTCTTACAAACCAGTAAGATAACTGAACAAAATTTTTAAAAGTTGAGGATATGAATGGAGAGTTCACAGCAGAAAAAAAAATGGTGCCACACCTCACTCATCGAATAAATGTGAATTTTAAATTATTTATTTATTTGAATAGATAATGTCTGCCCATGGTGAAAATTCAAGCAGTTCAAAAGATGTTCTATAGTGAAAAGGATGTATCCCCTCCCACCTTCCTTCTTGGAACCAACCATTGTTAGCAATATCTTTTGTATCCTAGAATTATAATGTGTGTATACAAAATCATTAACTATTTCCTTTTCACACAAGTGGAACATACACACTCACTGCTATTTACATTGATATGTAGATTCTTTTGACTGTATTACTGTTACTAACAATACCACAGTGAACATATGTGGGAATATTTGTTAAATTCTTAGGAGTGGAATTGCTGGGTCAGAGCACATGTGCATTTAAAATGTTCATAGCTACTTATCCAACTGCCTCCAAAGAGGACTCAATAGTTTATACTGATCAAAAATGCATGAGGATATATTTCTCTACAGTCTTGGAAATAGGGTATTAATTGTCTTGCTTTACCTTTGTTAGTCTGAAAGATGAAAAAAATGCTCTTTCATACATTTAATGGTCATTTTTCTTATATAAGTAAAGCTGCACATATTTTCATTTGTTTAAGAACCATTTTCTGTGAATTTTTTTCTCCTGTCCTTTGCTCATTTTTCTATTGGATTACTAATCTGTTTCTTATATATTTGTAGAAACTTCCTATGTATTAAATAAAGTAGCCCTCTACACGTATTATAAATTTTTTCCCTGGCTTTTATTTATTTATTAACAAAAGTATGAAGAGATGCATTTATAAAGGTGTTGATCATGGAGTCATTTACAAATGTGCCATTAATATGGATTAAATAAGTTATGATATACACAATAAAATGCTATTAGCTATTTAAATGAAGATTTATATTTATTAACATGAATAATAGCTATGTAGAATCAGTAGAAAAAACAGAATATAAAACAAAACATATGATCCCCCTTTTTAAAAAAATTCCATGTCATCAAATAGTTACCTCTAGTTGGTAGGAGTTCAGGTAATTTACTTTCTTCTTTTTACCATTCTAGATTATCTGAAAAAATGTTTATGATGAATATGTGTTTTTCCTTTAACAAGATAACAAATACAAATCAAGCTATTTCCATTTTGAAAAAAATGAAAGTAAAAAACTCAAACTATCAATAAAGACAAGGCCAAATGTACTGAGGTCATCAACAAAGGACTGTACTTTTCCCCCTAAAATGCTGATATTAACTCCTACAGCATTCTATTGGTTGGAGCATCCTCATGTGTCTTTCAAAGTCATGCTATTTTGAAACATTTATTTAACTTATAAAGTAGCACGGAGCTACCACCCAGGAGATAGGAAACAATTATAGCAGTGTTCAGTTTGCTTGGCAAAGTATAGTCATGTGATATAAAAAGCATTTGTCAAAATCAGTATTGACACTGGAGTTATGATAGGCGTTATGTTAATGAGTAGATAGTCAATGGCTATTGACTATTGACCAAAGATCCTGTCACTGGTTTGTTGATCCCTGGGGAGAAAGATTGCTAGTATTGTCTGGGAGTTATGGGGTGGCAGTTACCTCTCCCTGGAACACTTCCCTGAATGGTGTAGAAGCATTATACGGCGCCTGCATTTTTTTAAATGGGTGTTATAAATAGTTATCTAAAGCTTTACACCTTCACTTATTTCTTTGGCCTAAAAGTCATAAAGAAAAAGATTGTCAGATGCTTTTTCAAGTTCAAAACTTCTGTTTTTGCCAAAGACACCTTAAACAAAAGGTGAAATAATAGTCTGAAAGACACCATATACCAGATAAATTATTATTTCTTAGAACATATAAAGAAGTCTTACAAATTAATAATAAAAATGGGAAAAGATGTGAGCAAGTAATCCACAGTATAAATAAATGTCAAAAAAAAACATACAAAAGGTGTTCACAATAGTCCCCCTTATCTGTGGTAGATACTTTCCAAGATTCACCAGTGAATGCCTGAAACTGTGGAGCATCCAGAACCATATACATACTGTTTTTTCCATACACACATGCCTGTGATAAAGTTTAATTTATAAGTTAGGCACAATAAGGTACTGACAGTAATAATAAAACAGAACAATTAAAATCTGTAACAAAATCTATGTGAATGTGGTCTCTCTCTCAAAATAACTTATCATACTACACTCACCCTTCTTGTGAAGATGTGAGACGATAAAATGCCTATGTGATCAGATGAAGTGAGGTGAGGGATGCAGGCATTGTGATATAGCCTTAGGCTATCACTGACCTGACCACACACCAGAAGGAGGGTCATCTGCTTCTGGTCCAAAACTGACCTTGAGTAACTAAAACCATGGATAAGAGGGGATTACTGTAATCTCACAAGTTTAATCAGGGACATGCAAATTAAAACAATAAGTATAGTTTTGCCTTTCAAATTATCCAAAACTTAAATGATTCATAATGTAGATATGAATGAGGGAATGGAGGACTAGGTATGCTAACGCAATATTGGTGGGAATTTATATTGTTACAATTTTCTTTTTGTGGTTAAAAAATATGCAACATAAAATTTGCCATTGTAACCCTTTTTAAGTGTACAGTTCAGTGGCATTATGTACATGCACACTGTAGTACAGCCATCACTACTGCCATCTTCAGAATTTTCCCATCTTCCCAAACTGAAACACTGTCCCCATTAAACCCTACCCTTCCCCTCTCTCGAGCCCACGGCAACCACCAGTCTACCTTCTATCTCAATGAATTGGATGACTCTAGGTTCCTCATAAAAGTGGAACCATGTACTTTTAGTTGTTTTTTAGTGTCTAGCTTATTTCACTTCGCATAATGTCTCCAAGTTTCATCCATGTGTACCATATGTCAGATTTTCCTTTTTTTTTTTTGAGAGGGCATCTCTCATATTTATTGATCAAATGGTTGTTAACAACAATAAAATTCTGTATAGGGGAGTCGATGCTCAATGCACAATCATTAATCCACCCCAAGCCTAATTTTCGTCAGTCTCCAATCTTCTGAAGCATAACGAACAAGTTCTTACATGGTGAACAAATTCTTACATAGTGAATAAGTTCTTACATAGATTTTCCTTCATTTTTAAGGATGAATAACTTTCCATTGCATGGGGTAAACCTTTTTATAGGACAATTTTATAGTAGTCACAAATTTTTAAATGCCATATCTTTTGATGTAACAATTCCACTTCTAGGTATATCCTAAAGAAGTATTTGTACATTTGCAATAAGAGACATTGACAAGGATGTTCACTGAAGCATTGTTTAATAGTGAAAAATGTAAAACAATCTAAACATCAACCAGTAAGGAGATGGGATATGGTATATACATGTTATGAAATATATGGCAGCAATTCAGAAAGAATGAGGTAGACCTATGTGTACTGGCATGGAAATGTCTCCAAGCAACATGTTCTGTATGATTCCATTTATGTATAATTTTTAAAGTATGTTTTTATATAATACATACATATGTAAACACATCGAATACAATCTGCTGGTAAATATAACCAACTTTTACCAAGTAGCACTGAGAAAGTTAAGTGTGGGAAGAGGAGGTTCAGGGAGGGGCCCTGAAAAAAGGTTCCATGTTTTACTCTATATATGTATCCTTTGACTGAGTCTTTACAATTGGATCATACCATTTAAGTAAAAAATTAATACAGGGGAAAAAAGAAATAAGCTAAATTGAGCATATTTGGATTACAGAGTTAATGGATGTTTTCTTTTCCTGTATTTCTCATGTTTCCTACATTGAGTATGTGTTACTTTTATAATTAGGAAGGCAATAAAAGTATTATAAGGAAAAAACGGTATACCCACTGTGAATTACTATGCAGACATTGTCAACATTGAAGTAAATCTACATATGGGGACATGCATACTCATATTCATGTTTATATTGGCATCAACATCTAGGACACCTACAATATGTATCCTTACAGTATCCTTATAAACTTATAATGTTCCCATTATCCCTGAATTAATTTCATTCTATCTTCTCCTTTCTTAGTTCCTGCAACACAGACCATCTCCCTGTTCCTTGAACTTAAGCTTTCTTCTACCTCGGACCTTTGCATGGAATGTTCCCTTTGCCTGAAACACCCTTTCCACAGATATTATGAAGCAAGTCCCACATTTCCTCCTCACCTTTGTCAAATGTCATCTTACCTGAGGCCTTACTTGACCACCCTATATCCTTTATTCTGTTTTTTTCACTATAGCACTTTTCATTATCTAAAATATGATGTACTTAGCTATTGGTCTGTCTCCTCTCATCATTAACATAAGTTCCATGAGGGCAGGGACTTGATGGGTCTTGTTCATTGCTGCTACTAGAAACACAGTAGACAATAAGTATTTGTTGAACAAATAAACAAATAGAAATATATTCTTATTAAATGGTTTCTTCTGGGCATGTGAGGAGAGATGAGAGGGGACTTTTCACTTTTTACTGGGTACTCCTATATATCATTAGATGTAGTTTATCAAGGGCTAATATCACATTTGTTTCACAAAATCAATTGGGTAATTTTTTTAAGTCTCATTTCCAAATTTACTGTCTTGTCTGTTAATACCTGTTTGAAGAGAAATCATATGGCAGGTGTCAAGTGATTAAGAACAACCTAAGGAAGATTTTTACCTGAAAGGAGTTTTACCAATTCCCTGTAAATTGGGAAAATATTTATATTGTTCTATTTTGTATTTGTGCTGTTCTATTTTAACAGAATATCCAGGCCCACTTTGTGGTTTGTCTCAAGTCCACAGCAGCATGATTCTGTCCAGATGGGGAGGCCTGGAATCAAGAGCAATCCCCAGAGCTAAATAGGGTGACGGAGGAGGTCATGGCTTGAATGTTTGTCAAAGTGTGAGGGACATTAACTGATGAAAAAGGGAAATAGAAAGTGAAACCTTTTATTTAAACAACATTAAGCCAGTTCCTTTAAGGCACAACTGCTTGGAGCCTTTAACCTAGTACACGTTATTAGGTGTCCAGGAGGGAGGTAACAGGCAACTTCCTGAGCTCTTGGGGTCTCAGCATCCTTTTCACAGTGGTTGCTATATTTGGAGGACAAATTTTGGGAAACATTGAAATTAAAGATTTTCTGAGGTAAAGGAGAAATTTTTCCTATTCCTTAGGAGTCTTGCCTGGTAAGAAAAGTAGGTGCTAGAATAAATTATAGGGGTTGGCTGAGATCTACAGGCTGGAGAGTGAACTTTGCCACTCGGTTTCTGTGAACCAGAGGGGAGATAGGATGGCCATGGGATGAAGAAAGCAAGAAAACAGGCAAAACCCCAAGATATTTCCCTGTTAATACTATTGCATTAAGATCCTTGCCCCCCAGTTTTGTCTAAAGCTTCTGCTTGGAATTGACTGAGCCTAGTTCAAGGGGAGCCATGGCTTGCCCAGATTCTTTGAAAAACAGCTAGAGTGTAACTGAAATGAAGTGTGGATACTCAGGAAGTATCATGAGATGTAGTTTCTAGAAGCCCTGGGGACCCATAGAGAATGAAACAGCAACTTGTGCAAAGTTTATTCTATCCAATTTGGAGCAGTCTGTCTTCAAGGCAGAATCAGAGCGCTGGCTCTTAAACAGGGGCTGCTTGTCGTGAATGACGCTGATGCTCTTGTGAAAGACCAGTCGTCCGGGAAGCCTATGAGCAGAGTTGAACAAATATCTAGAAAGGAGTTGACATACACCTCCCTTCATGACCACCCCTTTATTCTTCTGAAGCAAGCAATATTATACTGGGGCCCAGTCTTCCTGTGTTTACCCACACCTACATCTTTTTTCCTATGGTATTTTTCACTGTCTTGAATATTGTTCCATGCCAGTTCCTATCTCCATTCTGTTTAACAACTGCATTATCATAATTACTCTCCTTTGAAGGGCAATTAGGTCATTTCCAATTTTACTACAATGAGTAACATGTTAAGCACTAGTCAAGTTTTTACGTTTTAAGCACTTCACATGTAATCCTCATACCTCTGATAGGTATAATTAACCCTTTTTTTTTTAGGAGAGCAAGGTACAGGCTTTTATTTAGAGATAAAGTGAAAGGACAGAGCTCCCGGCTCACGCCAGGAGGGGACAAGAGAGTCCCTAATTAACCCCATTTTTACAGATGAGTCTTGATGTACTGACAGGATAACCTACTTGCCCAAGGTTAAAAGTCATTAAGTAGTGGAGTCACATTTGAACTCTAGTCTTGTCTCCAGAGCCACAAGGAATCACTACTACATTAGATTACAACATTTTTACACAGGAGGCATATGCTCTTCTAAATTGAATTAAGACTAATTTTATATAAAACCCACTATACTGTTTTTTTCATTTCAGTAGAACTGGCAAAAACTTCATCTTGGAGTGGCATCAGGGTACACAGACCAGCACCTTGGATCTACTGCTTTCAGTGTACCATGCAAACACATCTTTGCACACCGGTGTGAGCATTCTCAGGAACGATCACAGAAATAATGTATTAACAGAAACTCTTCTTTTATCGAATACTCAAGTAGAAGGGCTGGTGAGGCATCTTGCTCCCTTCCCATGGGCTCTTTAGCATCTGAACCAACAGCAATTATTTCAGAGAAGTAAAAAGCTAACTGGACAATGAAAACTAAGTTGAACAGGTGATAGGGCTGAGTTGGATTCAAAACATAAACAAACCTTTATCAACTCATCTTTCTATCTAGGTCATCCCAAAGTAAAGCTCTACTCCTAGTCCCATTTCCTCACAGCATTGCTGGCCCCCCTCACCAGTAGCAGAGTGAGCAGGAACCACACTACAAATGCTTCCATTTCATTCAGCATAAAGCAAGGCTTGAGGCCAGGACTGGTAAACCCACTCCCAAAAATCAATTTACAGCACAGATTTTTGAAGACCAACAATTTAGAGCCTTTTCCTTATTCAAATTCCAAGTTCTGTGCACAGTAAATTTGCTGAGATCCTTGGATACTTAGGGGATCCCTGTGGAAAAGGAAGATCCTCAGAGAATGAGACAGCAATAGGTGAAACCTCTTTTCTCAAAGGATTAACAAGATTTCACATCTGGGAGTCTCAGGTTGCTTGCTAGTCAAGATGTCATTTAGGAGAAATATGTGTTCAAGTCTTCTTACCCAAGCCACCACTAGTTTCCAGCTATTAAGTGAAATGCTTTATTCTCCAGGTTTATTAATCAAGGCTTTTAAGTGTAAAAGCAAGCATGGGAAAAAACAAGACTTTTTATCTTAAAACTCTGCTTTAGTAGCAAAGGGCCTATTCTATCTTACTGAATACACAGCAAAAACCCTACTTAAAAGCACTAGTTTGAGGACTTCTTAAAAGAGGAACCTAGTAAAACTTCAAGGATTTTATGGGCTGTTTTTTTTTATTTTGGTATCATTAATCTACAATTACAGAAAGAACATTATGTTTATTTACTAGGTTCCCCCCTTCACCAAATCCCCCCCATACATCCTTCAGTCACTGTCCATCTGCGTAGTAAGATGCTGTAAAATCACTAGTCTTCTGTGTTGCGCAGCCTTCCCCGTGCCCCCCATGCACTATACATGCTAATCGTAATGTATGGGCTGTTCTTAAGTCAATTACAAGACACTTGGATGCCAGCCCTTGGTATTCCTCTAATTAGACCTATGAAATGGCACTGGACAGGGTGTCAACTTCCCATTTAATAGCGAAGTGTTTTTGAAGGCTTTACTTTTCATCACCATTTTTTTAAAGCAGATTTCTCCCTTTCTGACCCAAGTTATCACCACCCCAAGGAGCTGAAACAACTAAAAATTAGGTAATCTCATGTTAAACATACAAAGAAACCCAGGTTTTAAGTATTCCCCTTCAGTATTTTATGCTATTTAACTGGATTTGAGACCTGAGTTAGAGAATCATGTTAAGTTCCTGAAAGTATGCACCAAGACATCCTCAGCCCCTCTGGATTATCACATGACCCCTGATTCCATTTTTAGAATGTACCTCTGGGTGATTACACCACCACACCAATCTAGTGCCCCCAATTTCCCTAACATCTAAACTTGTAAAAACCAGGGTGGCTTCCCAACTTCCCTTATATGCACTCCCCACACAACTTGAGAACCACCATTTTCATGTGTTACTTTCCCAATTCCCTGTAGTGAAAGCACGGTAAAAAGAGTATCTCCTATACGTTTTTTATCCACCCCTATTTTTATTAATATTGGAAGAACACTGACTGCTTAGTGTTTGTCAGCATAAGTAAACTGCTTCTCAGGCCTAGAAGAGATTTTTGTAGAGTGCCAAATTAAAGAACCTCATTTGCTACTGTAATCTCATCTTTCCTTGCAATAACATAAAGCCATCATTAAAAATTGTCAGGAACTACCTTAAGTTTGATGCCTAATACACTAAAGACAGCAACATGCCTTCATCAGTATGCCCCACTTCGCATTTCCTAATTTTTAAATGTTACACTCCTGAGATGGTTTTCCACTACCATCACAGACCCCAACCTTGTAAATGACCTTGAGGAAGGGCAGTTGCTGACACACCCAACGTTTACTGAAGTTGGCTACCAGAGTTAGTTTTGGTCACACCAAAGACTTGAAGTTGAATCCCTTCCCCAACACTATTTTAACCAGTTAAGAAGTTCCCATATCTCAAAATTTCGTAACAGACACTACAAATAATTACCATGCAAGAAAACCTTTATTAAACATTTTGAACAGCTATTGAGAAACGAGCTATTCAGCTATTACTCAAACTGGTTATTTCTAAACTTAAATTGGGGCAAATGGCAAAGAGTACAGAGTAATACCATCACTGAGCCCTAAGAATGCAAGACTGAAAAATTAACAGCCACCCCTCAGACGGAGCACAAGGTGCAGGGTCGACTCTTTCTGTATGTTGTAATCAGAGAGTGTGCGGCCATCCTCCAGCTGCTTGCCAGCAAAGATGAGCCTCTGCTGGTCGGGAGGGATGCCTTCTTTATCCTGGATCTTGGCCTTCACGTTCTCGATGGTATCGCTGGGCTCCACCTCCAGGGTGATGGTCTTGCCGGTGAGGGTCTTCACGAAGATCTGCATACCACCCCTCAGACGGAGCACGAGGTGCAGGGTCGACTCTTTCTGGATGTTGTAATCAGAGAGAGTGCGGCCATCCTCCAGCTGCTTGCCAGCAAAGATGAGCCTCTGCTGGTCGGGAGGGATGCCTTCTTTATCCTGGATCTTGGCCTTCACGTTCTCGATGGTATCGCTGGGCTCCACCTCCAGGGTGATTGTCTTGCCAGTGAGGGTCTTCACGAAGATCTGCATTTTGACCTACAGTTTACAAGTGAAACATAAGCGTTACCATCCAAAATCTTTACATTACTTTCATTATCTAATAAATTCAAAGTGAACTGGTTAACTCCATGTTCTTCCAGAACACGTTTCAACTACGTTAACATAACCTCCGATTTTTACTCTCATGCGTACATTACTCATCGGATACAAAATTCAACGAAGGCTTCAACTTAACGGGCTTTAAGACCAAAACAGCTTCCTAGGATTATCATTCAGAATTTTCTTCCTTTACTGCTCCAGATTTCCTTAAGTCTCCGGTAACAATTTTCCCAATACTTACTACTATACAAAAAAATGAAAAAGCAAAACGCCACCAGACTCGGAAAATAAGATCTCGTTTAAGTGGAGGTGGGGGTAGCGGTATATTTTCCACTTTGGGATTCGAAATTAAAGGTTTCCAGAAGCCACACCGAACTACCCGTTTTCCGCCTTGCCCCTCTGAAGCAGACACGATAGAATCTCCATCGGTTAAATGTCCGTTAGTCTCGGTGGGCGAGCGCGCCAACCGCCCCCGCGGCCTACACATAAACAAGACCCACTTCTACTGCAAAGGCTGAGCGCGGCGGCCCCGCTTCACCTCCCCTCCCCTCCCCCACCGCTCTCCCCGAGGCCCACAAGGCCCGAAGAATTCGCCAGCTCGGTCTCACACTTAGGCTTCCTCCTTCCCCACTGCCCCTCCGGCCTCCAAAGCTGTGGGCCGCTACCTGCTGGCGAATACCCAGATACAATAACGCCGAACCAGCAAAACAAAAATGACGTCGCTCCAAAAACCCAGCCGCCTCTGGACACTCTGGCTCGGCGAACCTGAAATTTATACAACGTCTGTTGCGTCACTTATGACTCTTACGTACCGCTGTGTCCTTACGCCGCTGAAAGTAGTTCGCTCGGTTCCCTCACTCGCGACGCAGGTAGATCCTTCCACTGAGCCCCAAATTCCCACAGTCAGAAAAAAAACCTTAACAAGTCAGATCCCCTCTTTTCCAGGTGATCCTTTTCCTCCTTTAGGAAAATTCAGAAAAATTATCAGGCGGATGAATTCGAGTTAAGGGGACCGTCCTCGAAAGCTCTGGAAACTTCCTAGCGGCGCCAGAGTTGATTGGTGAGGCCTGTGAAGGCGAGGACAGCGCTGATTGGTCGGAGACGGATGGGTTGTTGCTGGGCTCCCGGCTCGGTTGGTTTAGTGCCGACGTTGCTAAGTAACCGAGTGCGCGTGCGCCGTAAGGGCGCGGCTTTGAGAAGGAGGGGGTACTTCCGGCCAGATTTGGCGGAGGGGTCTTGTTTCCGGGTTGCAAAATCCAACTCCCCCAAATCTCGTGTGGGACATTAGTCTAGGAAACAGTGGGCTCAATGGCAGCTTCCCCGGAAGGGCGCCCCATCTCGGTTGGAGGTGGTCAGCAGAGGCACTGCGCGGTGTGCAGCAGTTTTTCTCGGTGTCGGCTGTGAAGCACAAGCCCCTTCACCATGTCCCCGCTCTTTAAAAACGCGGGATCGTCACACACTGGCGGGTTTTTACTTCTACGCTTGGTTAGGACAGGGTTGTGAAGCTTTAATTAGGCTTCCTTAAGGTCAGAACGCTTTTGTCTTCTTTGACCCTCACAAGAACTCTAAGGAGCCTAGACTCCGGCGGCCGGACCCTGTGCGTGGCGCCCGCACCCATCCGAGCTGCTCCGCCGAGGGGCTCTCCCTCCGCCTCCGAGGCCGCCCAGCCGGCCCACCGCGGAGCCCTTCCACCTCCCGTGCTCCAGGCCTGCCGCCACGTGGGCCCTCCCCCGATTTCCCGGCCCGGTCGGCCTCGCCCTCAGGCCGAGAGCAGCGGGGTTCTGGCTGCGGGTGACGCACGGGCCGTGCTTAGGCCTGGCTCCCGCAATACCTTCCAGTACCGTCCCGTACCCTCTCCCTGTTTCTCCAGACTCTGGTAGGGAAAGAGTAATGCGGGTTAGTGAGCTGAGGCCCCGCCTCAAGGACGGGGAATCCGTGTACGTAAGAGTAACTATTTCTCCTGAGAGTGCGTGTGTTGTGCAAGCGACGCTGAAGGTGTGGTTAACCCCTGCGCCCTGGGTGTGGCCTCCCGCCCATCGATGACGTAGCTTGAGGACCGTGAGTCAGGCTCGGGTGATTGGATCTCGGTGCCGCAAGGCCCTTTGTAGAGTCATGGAGGTGGGGATGTAAATAAACTTGTAAATGGCTATTTGTCACGTAATTCCAGCTATCCTTAGTAAGAAGTGGTCTAAAGGTTTACACGTTAATACAAATTAGGTAGGTATTACTTAGAAAAGTCGTTAGTTATTAAATCACACTTCTAAGCATAACTGTAAGAAACCATGTCAATGAATGAATCTCTTCAGGGTCGCATGAAGCAAGAATGGTGAATCTTTTTCTCTAAATTTGGATTAGCAAGGAGAAAACATGACAGGTATGTGGTGAATTAACACCTAGACTGTTTTAAGTTAAATTAACTAAAACTAGGTAAGATCTACTTACTTAAGTAATCACAAGTTAAAAATAAACAATTTCAAAACCAAAAATTTTCATTAAGATAATTTTGGACTTAGAGTTGAAATGTTTATTTTACAAAGCATGACTTTTCAATTTTGTTAAGTTAAGAGCAAGTCTGAGCTTGTTTAACCAGCTAGCATCTTCTCCTGAGTCCTACAAGTTGATTGGCAGAATGATCTAAAATGGAGATCTCCTGACTGACAGGATGACTTTGCTGGGAGTTCCAGCAGTTGCCAGGACTAAATAAGTCATGTAGCTTCCTGGTTTAAAGTTTTTCTAAAATGGGACATTCAATAATCTTGACAAAGTAAAATGTTTTTAGAAGGATGAAGCATGCTATCCTAGTACAATAAACAGGATGAATTTCTTATGGTCTGTTTAGAAATGAAACTTTTAGTAATAACATCATTCCTGGTACTAAAGTGTAAAAGATAATTTGTAAACAAGGAATAGAATGACAAAATCCAAAGATCAGAAATTTGGTAGCCTAGTTCAGTATTTGGCATTATGTTCTATAAATATTTGTTCAGTGAAGTGCAATATTCCCTTTTGTTCGTCAAAAAAACCCAACTTTGTAACAGCCTTAGGCACAAAAATACAAAGCAAAAAACACAATAGTTATATAATCTCTGTAGGCAAATGTTTTTTGTCTAGGCAGTTCCTTTTGTAAGGGACCAACATCAGGCCTCACCAAGATGTGCCATTGTGACACGCAGATTATTTTGAGCTGAAAGCCATCAAGGCCCAAAAGACTCCGGAGGATACTTTGACTTCCCTCCCCAACCCCATAGCTGTGTTATAAGGTGAACTAGGCGGGGTAAACAGGGAGGGATGTGGCTAAGACTGTTAAAATTCTTCTCTGTGCACCATCATTTCTGTGTGGCCCATCAAGTTCTTTCTCAAACATTTACTCTTTTCATATTCTTGTGAATTACTTCTCTTTTCTTTGAAGTCTCAGACCCTTCCCTCTTTCCTTTTGTGGGAATTTATATGGAATTTATATATAAAGTATAAAAATCATATGTATAGTCACATCTGCCTTGATGGTTTGTTTATGGTTCATGATTGTAGTCAAGACAGAAACAGTAACCAATACAGAAAGAGTTTCTGTGTTCGTTCACCGTGAGGATTTGTTCATTATCCTTCAGAAGATGAAACTGTTGAGAGTTAGACTTAATTAATGATTGTGCATAGAAACCCCAATATTGTTGTTAACAACCATTTCATCAATAAATATGAGAGCACCACTCGGCACCACTCTTGCGCTGTCATGCCTTGAGTCCCCTGGCTGGTCAAGTCTTCAAAGAACAATCGTGTCTCTTCCCTCATCTGCGGGTCAGAGACAGAGAAGAGACCTGTCACCTTTGATTCAGGATGGTGTATGTACTTCGTTCTCCCTGACTGTCTTTGGAACCCATGTCTGTGGTTTCCCTGAACATATGTAATTAAACTTTGTTTTTTTCTTCTGTTAATCTGTCTCAAGTCAATATGATTCTTAAATCAGCTAAAAGAACCTCGAGGGGTAGAGGAAATTTCTTCCTCCCCTGCATTTGGTACAATTAGCAGGATATTTCAACTCTCTGAACATTGCTCACTCTGAGGCCACTGTAGCTGAGAGATCCTGGAACACGTGACTGCAGCTGGCAGAAGGTAAGATTTCTTACCTTGTCAACCTCCTGGAATCTCTCTCTGCAGGGTCTGATGTAGCAAGAATGGTAGGAGTCTTCTTTTTAAATTTGAATTAGCAGGAGAAAATATTGTGGAACTAGTTCCTTGGGCCTGGTGACTCTTGGTAGATTAGGTTGAGAACTCTTGTTTTTTGCTGATCCAGTTCCTCCCAGAAACCATCTTTGGTTTTCTTTGTGCCTTTTATGTCATCTGTAAATGTGTACATGAGGTCAAGGCTGTTGCTTAAGGACAACTTGGAAGCCAGAGCTGCAGAACTGGTGGGCACCAGGCAAGCAGTTAAGAGCTGTTAGAGGGTTTGCCACCTCAAGAAGACTCCCATGACCAGGTGAGTTGGTCACGGAAGAAGTTAGATGGACACTAGGCCACCTGCCAACCTTAAGAAAATTTCCATTTAACAAGGCATACTGTAAAACACCACACAGTCCCCGACCCCACAGCATGTCCCTCCTAGGTATTAGTTTGGCCTCCAAGAAGGCCCAAGACTTGGCTAAAGCTATTAAATGCATGTAAGCTTTCCTGTTATCTTGTTACATGTCTTGAGAGCTTGGCTTTGTGACCAGTGAGGATGTACTGTCTCTGGTCTCTGCCACCCTGAGGGTGCATCTGGCGGGCAGTGCCACAGACTGGATCCTAAAACTTGTTCTTTGTCCAACTGTGCCAGCTCTCAGGGGAGTTTGCTGTAAGAGGTCCCAAACCGTAGGGGACTTTTGTCATCTCAATCTTGGTGTTTTGTTAGGGCTGGAAAAGTCCCATTCCAGTATTGCCTGCCTGGTGTCACAGATTAGCGGGTCTGTCACCAGAGCCACCATTCTTACTGCCTGGGCCATGAAGTGTCTTTGCTTTCTTATGGGAATGAACTTTATGGATCATGGGGGCTGCATCATCTGTGTCCTCCTGGGACATCTCCTAGGTCCTTAGTTTAAGCCTTGGAGAGCTCTCAATTGTAACAAGAAGTCTTAGGGATTCCCTTGACGAGATAGAAGAACTGAAATTAGGCTTGAAAAAAAATTTAATGCCATATCCAATATAAATTCCACTTAAAATCTGGCCCCATATGCCTGTTTTAACTTCCTTTTGCTATAGGTGTATAAGGGATACTTAGATCGAATCTCCAGACCCAAAGAATACAGATTACTCATGTAAATGCTGTAAACTAGGAAATTAATTTAACAAGCTTCTAAGATTGGCAGTTAAGGCTTGCTTTGCTCCCACCTTCCAGGGCTCTATAATCAGGTGCTACCGGCTTCAGAATTCCCATACAATGTCCTTTGCAAATATAACCTAGACCTCCACTGAGAAAAAAAATTTCATATACCTTAAATAGCAGCAAAAATTTTTAATTATAAAAATACTTTAATCTCCACTTTCAGAAAATCCTATCAAATTTAGAGAGGAATTAAAAAGATTAGGGACTACTTAAACCCCCTTAAAGGGGAAGCAGTTTATATAAATTTTTCTGGTAGGCCCTCTTGCAGAAGATCAACAGAAGGCATGTCCCAGGGCTGACAGAGGAGGCAAATGGAATTTTATGATGCCTCTTCCTTTGAAAATCCAGACCTGGATTTTGGAATAGCTTTTGCCTTCTTGCTCATTTCCTTGGCTTTCTGCTTGCCTGGCACACACCTGTTGTTGGTTTTTTCTTTGGTTAT